CAGTCCTTACTCTGGCCATCACCCTTGGAATGTGGGCACTGCCAGCTCTACCCAGATCCTTCTTTTCTTCTCCTACCATATGGTACCTTACTCCCTTGTCACCATACTGGCTCCTTCTTTAAAGAAGACTGTGTTCTGATCATGCATGTACAGAAAGCAATGGGGAGGGCATCATGACCTGACAACCCAGGCAGAAATGTTCTTTGACTGAAGGCAGCAAAGTCCAGGACCAGCTTTGAGGCATTTATAAAAATTAATAGATCAAAATTATTAAAATTCTCTCTCTTTACTCAGGCACAAGCCAGGATAGAAACTAGACACTCTGGACCAGATCATCACTCTGTCCTTTTCTAAAATCAATATTACATGCTTTTCGCTGTCTTCTTAGTGTTTGCCTTCCCGTTTTCATAGATAATGGAATGTGTCACTGGGAAATTAGGATTGATCCTTTATCTCAAACTAGGCAGATCTGTTGTTAATTCAAACAGAAAATAAACAACTTCAAAGAAAAGAAAACTCTGGATTGGACATCTATCCCCTCAAATAGAAGAGCGCAGGGAAGGGACTTCACCATTCACATGAATTCTTGCTTAGCAGCCAGTCCATCACTGTTCAGATACATACCATGCTCTGGTCACGGCTCTCCCACCTAAGTGGACAAAGGCACCAGCCTCCATCATCAAACCCAGTCAGGCTCAATAGCAGCCATTGCCAACAGTCCCTTTTCACTCTACCTTCTTAAATCTCATCTCCTCCCTCTCTTGAATCACATGCAAAAACATCCCAATCCTATGTTCGTGCATATATCCCTCAAGAGACTGTACATCACAGCATCAATAAAAACATCCACATTTAAAACCACAAGGATGATTAGCCTGGCATTCCAGGTAATCTTCATAGGTTCATACATACATAGCAATATTATTAGATATAGAGATATTAGCTATTTATCTCAACACGTATAATAGGCACACTACAGTTTAAAGCTGTGGTGTCAAACTCAAATAGAAATGGGGGCCACCGAACCACACATAAGGATTGCTGCCAGCTGCAATACTTAGCCTTAAAATGTAATATTATTTATATTTTATTGTATTTTTAATTTATTTTGTTAACTATTTCCCAATTACATTTTAATCTGGTTTGAGCTGCACTGAGGAGTGTTGTGGGCCAGATTTGTGACATTTGTGGTATGACAGACTAATCCAATAACTACATGTTTCAATTACATGCAGTTCGTAAAAATGCATTGTAACAGTAAGACAGGCATAACCACTGAGCCCAAGCAAATATGCATAACAGCAAACAAAAAGTAAAACAATTACAATAGCCCTACAAAATAAATTTGCAGAAACAGCAACATAAACAGATAACAAAACCAAGCACATGCACAAAGTCTAGCATGCACACACATGTAACAGATAATATAGGCATGATACTAACATAAAAGCAAATGTATATGATAATGAATACTACAAAAGTATACTCAAAACATGCAGTAATTAATGTTTACGAACATTATTATATGCAAGGCACACATTATATGGGTAAACAAGTATTATTGTCCAAGTATACGTGTAATTGTTTTTAATTACTTTTCTCTGGAATATTATAAGCTCATCAGTTGAATATGCTTAGCTTTCCTAGTACCTGATCATCTGTTATCAGCACTCATTCTCTCTTGAAGTTATTTTATATTACCTTATATTTATTCGTGTACATGTTGTATCACCTTCCAAAAGAATGTAAGCTCCCTGAGGGTAAAGACTGTTTCAACTGTCTACCTCTAGGGACTAATACAGTGACTTGCACTTAGTAGGTACTTAAAGTCTGTTGAATTGATTTGACCATAATAATTTAGACATGGTCTTCCTAAAGCAGAGTACAGTGGGAATGATCTCTCTTATTCTATTGACTCTCTATTAATGTAACCTAAGATCGCATTAATTTTGTGGCCATAATGTCAGTGTTGCCTTATATTGGACTTGAAGTCTACTATAGTCCCACCATGAGTTGCTGTCTCTACACATATTTATCTGAGCTTATAATTGTCAACTTTTTTTTAGCTCAAATATAATAATTTACCTTTATTCCAATGAAATGTCATCTTACCAGATTTAGTTCACCATTTTAGGTCTATTGAGATATTTCTGAATTCTTTCTGTCTTTCAACATGTCACTTTTCTGTCCCACTTTTGTAGCATCTACAAATATGCTATGTCTCAAATTCCTCAGAGTTGCAAGGACTAAAACAATATATAGTTAATTTTCTAGTTAACAATTTGGGGTTGAATTATCACTTAAATATACCTCTAGAGTCTAGCAAATTTACAAAGATAACAAGAGATGGGAACAGTCATTGAAGGAACTGTGAAAAGAGAGACTCACTAATGCATTGTTGGTGGAGCATGAATTGGTAGATCCATTCTGGAAAGGAATTTTGAACTATGCAAATAAAGTGACTAAAATGTCCCTACCCTTTCACCTAGATATTCCACTCCTAGTTACAAAGAAGCTCGTTGATTTAAAAAAGAAAGGCTTTGTAAGCACCAAAATATGTATGGAAACACTTTTTTTTCATGGCAGTAAAGAACTAGGAACAAAATTGGTGTCCACTGATTAGAGAATATCTAAACAAACTGTGGTAATGAATAGAATGGAATATAGCAGTGTTGGAAAAAAGGATGAGCTTGAAGAAGACAGAGAAGCATTGACAGACTTTTATAATACAAAGTAAAGTAAGCAGAACCAAGAAAACAGCATACACAATGATTATAATAATGTAAATGGAAAGAACCACTACAAAACAATCCAACATTACAAGAATACATTACAACATTACAAAGAATAAATACGACAAGATACCTCCTCCCCCACCCCTTGGGGAGGGGAGATAACAGATGTTTCACATTACATATAATGACAGGTTTTTTTTTTTGATGTACTGATTAGTTTTGCTGAGTTTTTTTTCCTCTTCCCCCTTGAACAAAAATTTTTTTAAAAAACCACAACCCATAACTCTCTTAGAGGACAGCTAACAGGGAGAAATTTAGGCAATGTAAAAATGAAAAATATCAATTAAAAATTGTAAACAATAAATATGCCTCTAAAGTGGTATTCTTCAACTAAAGATATCTTTGTAGGAGCCTCCAAATTAGACCTACTTTTACAAGTGACAAAAACAAACTTTATTACATTCATAACAATACAAAATTCATATATTTGGGGGTCCTAAGATGACTAGTTTTGAATTCAATGATATAGCATAGAACCTTTGGCACACTTACTAATATTAGTTTCTATATGCTTTCAATTCTTCTCCAACAACCCATGCAGGGTTATTAAATAAGCACAATCAGCTGTGAGGTGAGTCGTGGGAGAGGAGTACTTTGGAATGAAACACTACTAAGATCAAAACTAAAGTGTAAGCAATCCCTAAATAGAAGGCTTTGGAAAATTCATAAAATTCAGCAAAAGCAAATAAGACACTCTTAACTGGCTGCTCTTGCTTTGTTTTTTATTCTGCATTCTGTAGTAATGAGACGACTAAATCTTAATAAATCTAAAATAATAAAATGGTGTCTTTTGCAGCAAAGTGTCAAATAGCTATCTTACTTCACATATTTTGCCCTCTTGCCTAACTCTACCCAAGCCTCTTTAACATCCCATTCCAAACAATGGCTCACACTTCTTCCATATTATTAGTCTATCCTACTTAGCACTTAATAGCAAATAAAAGGCACAATCCATTCCTGGCAGATAAAATCCTGTGTAGTAAGCAAGAGGACTGGATGGAGAGTCAAATTACTAGAATCCTAGTCCCGCTTTTTACTATCTAATGGCTTGAGCAAGTTACTTAACTCACGTGGGCCTCAGTTTTCTCGCCTGTAAAATGAAGTTGCGCTAGATAGGTAAGTTCAATGTCCCTTTCAACTCTACATCTTATTTTCCTTGAAATAGTATTTAATCTTTCTGCCAGTGGGAAAGAGATGAGCGAACAGAAGGGTGGCACCTAACAGTCCCTTAATGTTTACCAAGTGCTTTCCTCACAAATTAACAAGCTGTAGCATATTTCAATCCCAAACTTCTACTCGACCCATTCTAGTCCCTTTTAAATTCCAGAACACAGAACCAGCACAATTTTAAAATTACTGTATATAATTTACTTGCCTAACAATTTTTAAAGTAAAGAAGCCTGGTCTAGATATCTATGCAAATAAAATCATGGGATTGAGTTACATAGGACTTTAGGGATTATTTAGTTAAAGATACTTATTCTTTGCCGATTAGATGTTAGAAAATGGAAATTTTGCTCTAATGAAATAGATCATTAGAAGTATATAGTATTCTAGAAAGTCTCGGTCAGGCTAATTCAAAGCAAAGAAACTTCTCCAGGAACAAGATTTTCTTCGGGGTTTGAATCTAAGGAATAAAGTCTCCACCTAGGCTCCTACATCCTCTTTGTATCCATGTGACCCCAGCATATTACTAGCCAGTTTCACCCACCCTCACCCCGAGAAGTTTATGAACCTTAAAATTTTACCTCGGGGTGAGTTATTAACGAACGACATAAGGCAAAGGCTCCATTTAACCAGAAGGGTTGGGATGCAATTGGTGGTAATTTACGCTGGGTCTCTTTGCAGAATGAGTACAGTAATCCTCGAAATGCACAAGGATCAAAAGATCATTGCTTTAAAGCTAGAAGGGGCTTAGACACCGTTTAAGTGAAACGTCATTTTACAGATGACGAAACTGAGGCCCAAATAAGTTAAGTGACTTGTCCAGGGCCACACAGCAAGTTTAGGGCCAAGCCGAGTGCTCTCATACTAAATCCCAGCCTCCTTTCTATAACTGGGATTCCTTCTTTTGGAGACAAACTCCGGAAGAGGGGCCGATTTGTGTGCTCGTTGTGTACCCCTCTTCGCCCTCCACCTCTCCTCGCCAAGGCCAAGAAACTCCCTCTACAATCCCCGCTTCCTTTCCCGCTCCCAGCAACTCACCTGCATGGTGTACGGGTCCCCTCCTCACGCGTTCCGGGCTACGTGGAAGGAAGTAGACAGAGAAGCCTTGCCCCGCACTGAGGACTAAAGGGCTAGGGCAGCTCGGGGCAGCTGGGATGCCCCGAGCCCCTCCTCTCCTCCGCCGCCGCACTGCGAGTCCACGGCCCCGGCGCGCTTTGTGCTTTCCAACAGTTTGGCGTGCCCGCGCACGCTCCCTGAAGGTTTGAACAGGTGCGGGGCCAGGCTTGTTTCGAACTCTTCTTCGGGACACTTGCCCAGAGCCCATCCCAGCCTAGCCGCGCGGGCCAGTGAACTGCTTAATCCTCTGATGCTCCACCGATAAGGTCTCGTTGCCAGGTAACCGAGAAGCTTCACGGAGAGGGTGCCAGCGCGAGAACGCAGAGACCTAGACTTCGCTATGGATGTGTTCTGGGGTGCGCTCCTTAGTTCCAGGCGCAAGATTACGGAAAGAAAGAGACCCTCGCCATCATTTCTGCTCCCCTCTTTTGTCCAAAGATCCATCTCAGCGTTCCAAGCCCCAGCTTTCGATATAACAAAATATAAAAAGCAAAAGGAACGAGTGTCTTTTATCGGCTGCTCGTCGGAGGGAGAAGTGCTCTATCTCTGCGAATCCGGACCCAGACTTTCGATCATGGACGGGGTTGTATCAGCGAGTTACGGAAATATGGTTTCATCAAGCTTGGTAACTCCTCTCACAGAGGTAGGTAGCAACCACTCTGTGATGTGGCGGACAAAAAGAACTGGAAAGTTGCCTGAAGTGGAGTATCTTCAGCTGGGTCACTGAAGCCAGACGGGGGAGTTAGAACTCCAGTCTTCCTGACCCTGACTTTATTCACTACGTTTCTGCAGCCAGTTACTGCTTAAATTAATACTCCACACCTCACAGCTTTAGCAAATGAAGAGCTGGGACAGTCACTCATCATAAACTTGAAAAAATGAAAATTCATGCCATAGCAACCCATCATGATACTGTATATAGCCTCATTCACCACCTGCTAAAAAGACCTAACGAACTCCAAAACTACGATGGATCGATCCACTGCGCATCCTTATCGTTATCGTGAGAAAGTTGAGCATTGCTAGTTTAGCACCGTTGTATGTTAGTAAATTCTCCCAAGATCTGTGATTTCATGGGTATTCAAGGTAGATCACAACCTTTCTGACAATTGGTTTTCCTTGCTGAGGACTCGATGATAAGCCTTCTTAAACTTCGTTAAACTGTTCTGAGGACTTCAGATGTCTATCTAATCTATGTATCCATATCTATCTAATTGAGTCAGTCTCTGGCCCTAACTCTAAGCCTCGCCTGCACAGGAGCTGCAGCCTGATTTTGCACTAAGCTGACACAGCCTTCTAAAGTGTAGGGCGCTTCCACGCATTAGGGGAAGACTTTAGTGAAGAGAAATGGTAGTAATGACTTCCGAAGGAAATCTGAAAAACCACGGATTGCTTACTTAATCGGGCTCATTGATAAATTATTAGTTAATCTCAAGAAATCACAATATTTTAATTTTGTATTCTCAGAAAACCTACCCCGCCCCCATGTACTTTGATTTTTTTTAAGCATGACAAGAGTTTAGCATTAGCACAGAAAGTCCTTTGGTATTATGGAAGCTGTATTGTCAGCAATGGCACAGAAAGTCCTTTGGTATGGTGGGAAGCTGTATTGCCTGCTACATTATATTCCCACTCCTTTGTTGTTGTTGTTTCTTAATATTCCATTGATTTTTATCCCTGAAAGCATAAAAGCACACGTGTACCTTCATTAGGATGAGATAAAATATTAACATCATTTCTCTATGGATTGTCTTTCATTTCAAGAACAACAAAATATTGATAAAGAAAACAATGTTTCAGACATGCAAGAGGCACAGTTTTATTAAACACAATTGCAAGTGCTAGACCACTAGCAAACATTTTAAGATGAAATTAAAGAAACATTTACATTCTTAACTAAATCTAATTGGGATGCATTTACATTCCAGGGAATTCTCAATTGTACAATTAATAGGGAATATTCTTTGAGCAAAAAAAACATTCTCTGCACCACCACTCCTTCAACATGAAAGTAGTTCAAAGGCCTGCAAGATAAAGAAATTACCATGAGAAGTTTCATACTAAAGATATATACACACTGAAACATTTCATCATAGCAAAGAGAAAACCGCTGAGATTTCTTCTTTTCCCCTAGATAATGCTTTTTTTAAAATGTAACAACAGCTGTGCTTATGTTTACATTCATCCAAATATCAAAGTGGTGGCTAATGGATAGAGGCTCGGTGGACAGAGCATGGGGCCTGGAGTCAGGAAGCCCTGAGTTCAAATCCAGCCTCAGACATTTACTAGCTGTGTGACCCTGGGCAAGTCACTTAACCCAGTTTGCCTCAATTTCCTCATCTGGAAAATAAGCTGGAGAAGGAAATGGTAAAACCACTCTGGTATCTTTGCCAAGAAAACTCCAAATGGGTTCACAAAAAGTCAGACACTGCTGAACAACAACAAAATATCAAAATGCTTTACTATACCACTCACTTGTAATGTATAAGGTTCCTTGATGCCATTAAGAATTATGAAGAGTCTCTTTTAAATTAAGTATCCTTATGCAAATTCTTATTTTTGTACTACATTTATATTTTTAAATCTTATAGGTACTCTTAAAAAGTAAACTTAAATTCCATCTATGGAGTAAATCCAGAAGCCACTGCAACTAAGAAAGATCTAACCACCATCTAGATAATTAAGTCATGTCTTAAACTGAATTGCACAACTTGGTGATTATTTGACAAGATGTGTTTTATTTTTTGTCTTAATATCTCCAGAATGAGCACAGTGCCTGGCACATAGTAGATGCTTAATAAATGCTTCTTGAAATGAATTTTTAAATCCTTATATAACTTCTAGCCTCCACTAATGTCCTAATGAATGGCATTGTCATGGTGTGGAGGTGGCCCCATTTCTTGAAAGCTTTATCAGTGAAACATACTCTGATAGGTCCTAAGAACCTGGAAGGACTTCAGTATGCATTTGGATGGACATTCTATAGAACTCATCCAACAGCGACATATGGGAGAGACATTGCTGATGGACAAAAAGCTGGGCTTGGGGTTGAAAAGGAAGAGAAGAGCAGGTTGGGTTGATTTGGGAAACTACAGATCTCTTCCTATGAAATCAAAGGCCCAGTTTTTCAATATTAACATTTTGTCAACGTTGCTATGTGGTGGCAAAATGTGGAATGCTGCTGCTCCTGAAGAACTAAAGATGAGCTTCTTAATATCACACAGAGGGCGATAGAAGTGCATGGTGGGTATGAGCAAACTGCAATGTATAACCATGAAAGAACTCCAAAGAATAGAAGAAAAGGATGTCATCAAAGAATTGTATGACAGGATGAGAAAATGGACAGGTCACACGGCACATGTGAGTGATGACAGATGTACTATCAGAATTCTTGCAATGGGGGGAGAAATCAAGGAAGACCCCCAGCATGTTGAGTGGACCCCCTGTGACCAACTTTTGGGAGAATATGGACAAAAATTGCATAGCATCTGCAGGCATGAAAGTGTTACAACCAACACCATTGGAGAGAATTCAAAACCAATGAGATCATAGGTCCATTTGAGTGTTGATTGCTTGTAGACAGTTCCTCTGTTCCTCACTATATTCCCATTACCATTAGTGTAGCCCAAGGCATACAGGAGCAGATCAAAGTTACCTGATGCTGTGGGACTCATAAGAATGGCTGAAGTTCTACTATTTCCCTTCCAACCCCACTTTCCTCTCCATGAAAACAAGACTCATTTCATAAAGTTTCCATACCACACACACACACACACACACACACACAGTTGAACATATGGTCAAACATATGTTAATACAATGAAAATAACTTCAATAGACTTTATTTTGAGAACATTTGAAACTGGGTTAAAATATGAAACAAGTACCTTTTAGTGGAAAATTGTTGACCTTCTTCCATTGCGTGGCTAAAAAATAACAAAGGCAAATTAGAAATTAACTCAGCTTAACTAACAGATGGTTTCTGTTTTATTCAAAAGGTAATAGCTCTCATTTTGAATTTATTTTGTCATTATAGCTTTACAGAATACATCTACATTTTAGTTTGATGCTAACCTAAATAGACCTGATGGGATCAGGCTTAGTCAGTACATTAAAAATATATAGGGTGTCCCAAAAGTCTTAGTGTAGTTTAAAGCTTATTAAAGCTTACAGCTGCACTAAGATTTTTGGGACACCCTGTATTAAAGAAGCAAGAGCTTTGGGAATAGTTTCTTAGGTAAAAGCAACAGGACCAGCAGCAACAAATGCAAAAAGCCCTGCATTACTGAGAAAACTTTCGAACATATGATAATAAAATACTTAATCAAGCTCTTCTTGACTTACTCTCAATTATATTTGTTGACCTAGACTCGACATGGGTATAATCACTTTGGGAAGTTACCTTAACTTTCAATCTACTTGATACACTGGGACAATTACTTAGTTAATTAGTTAAATGATACTTTAGTGACCCCAGAGAGTCACTATAGCTTCTATAAGTGCGGTATATGGTTGGTCCCAGAGATTCCTTATACGTGAAATACGCCTGGCTCTTGTGAATAAATGTGGAAATTAACTTAAATTCAAAAATATACCTCATATTATACTATGATATTATGTCTTATTCTTCATTTTTTCATGTTATAGTATCTCGAGGAGGGCATCCAGCACTTTGGGTGTGGGAAGACATAGACCAGTATTGCTCGAGATAAATAGGCATATATGACTTGTGATCTGTATTACTGGAAGGGATATCAACACTTATGAGTACCTATTAGAATGTTGATTTTTACCGCCTTTATTGTCTGTAACTTATTTTTTTTTGGATATGTAAAAAAGGCAAATAACATTCTTTTTTATTAAAAAAAAAGATACTTTTTTCTTTTAAAGAAGAATGTTACCACATAAGCAATAATGCATGAAATAGTTAACAAATACCCCTAAACAAAGATAAAAGTCATGATTCCTCAGTTGTCAGAATTTCAACCTGAGAGTACCTGTCATCAATCAGCCTGGCTAAGTCTGAAGAGACTTAGCCCCATGCTGGATGTAAGGTAATGACTTTTTAGTCACATCAACTCTGCAAGACAATCTAAATTCTGGAGGGGCAGAGATTCTGTTGCAAGGGTGTGCCCTTGCTGAGGAAATCATTAACTATTGATGTGTTATATTTATAGTATCATTCATTACTTACTTTTCATAAGCAACTTGGGAAAGTAAGTGTACATTATTAGCTTCATTTATAAATGTGGAGCCAGAGAAAAGTCAAAAGGTTCATTTGGTAAAATACCAACTTAGTGGCAGGATTAAATCTCAAGCCATTTAGTTCTCCAGGCAGCTTCCTGAGACTAGTAAATTAACTTTGCATTGTTACAGGGAGTTTCCTTACTGGAAGTTGTCTATGTGAAGGAAAGTACAAGCCCAGTTCTCCCTGCCTCCACCCCAGGTGAATTCCATATAAAAACTTTAGTCCTATCGCCAATTATCTGGACTCTCTGTCTATATTACTGCTCCATATATTACTCTGAGTACATTGAAAGTCAGAGTTGTCATGGAAACAGTCAACCTGATTGTCCAGGATCTCATATTTCTAATCCCATTTCTCCAACTCTACCAAGTTAGAAAGCTTTTAGGGAAATCCAGAAAAAATTCCATCAAGCTGTTCTATTTTACCTGTGGTTGTTATCTAGTAGGGTAAAGAGGGTAATGAAATAGTCTTAAAATACAGCCTTAGTCAAAATTGAAATTAATACCAATGATTTCATGTGTGTGTCATATACATGTATTATATAGGGATAGGGACTGGCTCTGTGACTTCATTGGTATAGAGTGCTTCTTGGTGAGAAAACTCCCTCCCTCTTCAGGTTGACATAGACTCTGCAATTTATGGTATTAGAGAACTTCCTAGACCATTGAGACGTTAAGTAAGTTGCCTGCGATTACACAACCAGTGTATGTCCAAATCAGGACTTCCCAAGGGAAGAATCAAGACTACCAAAGTCTTCTTGGCTGTAAGGCCAGTTCTCTATCCACTACACTATGCTGCATCTAATATATACAGATATGTGCATACATATATATATATATATATATATATATATATATGTGTGTGTGTGTGTGTGTGTGTGTGTGTGTATAATACATACATACACATATATAAATACAGTTTAAAATAGTTCTCTATTCTCATTGACAGCATTTGAATGTTGTCTAACAACTGACTTTAAAAAAAAAACAAACCATGGTATGATCATACCCTGAATAAAAAGTAACCCCGACTTTGCATTCTTCCAGGTCCTTGGAATTCTTCCTAGAAAAAAAAGAATGATGAATCAAATAAAAGAACTTAATAAAAACAAATCTAAAATTTAATAAGAGGATGGAGATGAGGGCTATTTTTATTTATTGTATTGCATTTGAAGAGTTTCAGAATATAACTTCACCAGAATGTTAAACTTAAAATTATTTTCCTCCTTATGCAACACAATAGAATTCAGCTTTAGAAAGTTTTTCTAGTATACCCATTCAACTCCTAAGTGACCTGACAGACCCTGCATAGAAACTTAACCACAGAATGGTTTTTGAGTGGAAAATAAGCACAACATTTTAAAGTATGTCTTTAAAAGTATTGATTACATGTATTCTTATTATCATGGGAACAAAGAAGAGTGTGTTGTGGAAAGATAACCAAATTTGGCATTAGAAGGTCATGCTGCCTGGGTATCACTGGCTAACTCATTTAATCTCATTTGTAAAAATGAGAGCTTGTGGCAAGATGATCTCTGAGCTGCCTTCCAGAACTCAGCCACATGATTCTAGGAATGTAGAAGAGGATTTTGGAAAATCTTAAAAAAACCCAACAAACAAACAGAAGAAGAACTTGGTATTTTCATAGGAATATACATCAAGGCTAACTGACATGGACATGCCAAAAAAAATTATATTTTGTTTAATAATGTTTCAGCTTACAATCAGAGGTTTTTGCAATTTATTACATTTGGAAAAATGGTAGTGCCATAAGAATGCCAAACAGAAACAAAGCAATAAGCCAGATAATGCTTATATTTGTAAACAATTATTTGCATAAGGGGTGTCTCATTTAATGCCTTAAAGAGAGGATGGATAAATTTCACACCTTTCATGTAATTGTTTCAAGATGGCATGAATATAAGTCTAACCTTCCCTAGAATTGTCTCACTTCTATTATTAACAGTGCTATTGTTAACAATGGAAATGGTAACATTTCAATTAATTCATGTTAACATTGTTAATTAACATTATTATAACCAGTATTGTAATAATGATCAAAATGTTTTGTTTAGCATCACATTTTTTTGGTCTAGAATCATAATTTTAAATCACATGATGTAATTCTAAGTAATGTTTCTGACTTCTAGCAAAATCCTGAAAACTGTTTTTACAGAAAATACATGTTAAACTTTTATTGCTTGTATTCATTAGTCATTATCTAGAAATCTCATGGGTAAAGGAATAATTAATAGATAATAATACATATAAATTATTTATTTGCATATCACAGAATTTAAAGATGGAAGAGACCTCAGTGACCACCTGGTCAACTTATACGTACAAGAATCCCTACTAGAAGCCAAAAAATATAAAAAAGACTCAACTAAAATCTGGGAGCAGCTAGGTGGCACAGTGGATAGAGCACCAGCCCTGGAATCAGGAGGACCTGAGTTCAAATCTAGCCTCAGACACTTGACACTACCTGTGTGACCCTGGGCAAGTCACTTAACTCCATTGCCTAGGCACCTCTCCCCCCCAAAAAAAACTCAACTAAGAATCCCTACTAGAATATACTTGACAATTGGTCAAGTCTTCTAATGAGGAGGAACCCACCACTTCTTGAGGCAGTCTATTTATTTAACTTTTGCAGAGCCCCAGTTGCTAGGAAGCTTTGCTAGAGATTAAGCTTAAATCAGCCTTTTTCCTAACTTTCACTCTTTGCACATGGTTCTCCTGTTTAGGGCCAAATAGAATAAATCCAATTCCATAGACATACTCTATGAATGCCTCTGTTTAACTATTCTTCCACATGACAGCCCTTTCAATACCTGGAGAGAACTATCACTTCCTTGCAGAGTCTTCTGTTTCCTGGGTTAAATGCTCACACTGATCTTCATATGACAGGGACTCAAAGACCCCTTTACCATCCTGGTTGTCTTCTTCTGGACATTCTTTGGTCAATCGATATCCTTTTTAAATAGTGGCCCCCAGAACAATACATTATTCCAGTCCTTCCAGATCTGACCAGGGCAGAGCACAAACTACTACCTCCTATTAATAAGGAGGCATATTAGCACATACTGAAGAGAAGTAATAAGACAGCATGCTTGTAAACAGAAATGTTTATAATTTACCATCATAATATCATGGATTCTCAGAGGTCATGCAAATGACCTCAACTATCATCTGGTTCAACCCTTTACTTTAAGTATAAATTTTCTTCTATAATATCCTTGATAAAGGGTAATCTAGTCTACACTTGGAGATCTTCATTGTCAGAGAACATATACTACCTCTTGGGGAAACCCATTTTATTTTGGGCAGTTTAATTTCTAGGAAGCCATTCATTACAATAACTTTCAAATCTGCATTACTCTATGGCTTTAATTCACTGATTCCCCGTTCTCTAACCAAGCAGAATAAGTGTATTCCCTCTTTTATATGAAAACTCTTCAAATATTTGGGTATAGAAATCTTCTATCTCATCTCCAGAAATTTCTTTAAATATTAGCCTAGATATTAATCCCCAGGACCTTCCATTGGTCCTTGAATGGTATAATTTCTCCTCCCTCTTACTACCATGGCATATTCCATCTAGCACCCACACATGAATGCCCTACTCCAGAAATGGACCTGGTATGACAGAGTAGAGAGCTCCCTCCATCTTTCGAATTAATCTATTCTTAGACTAGAGATACACACCAAGTATCCAGAATAAGGGAGGTGATCTTTCCATGTACTTAAACCAGGAGAGGACAGATATTTCTTTTGTTGCTCTGACTTCTACCTCCCTGTAGATTCCACCCACTGTTCCTATATCTTGATTCCATCCTAAGACACAAAAGCTATCCTTGCATTTCAAAGTACAGAGAAATGGAAGACCCTCAAGTAGGAGTGTCATCTTTAGTTTCCTTTTCTCTGGGAAAGAAACTTTTGGAAAAGTTAAAATGCAAAGGAAGTTGGTTAGTAGAAGTTACAGAGATTTTAACTGTAGAAAGTAGGAAATAAAAAGTAAAGCTTCTGGGTAATCCAAATCTAAGGATGGCAATAAGACAGTATAGAATACCTTAATGGATTTACACATATTGCTTTTTCTCTCCTATAACTCAAGTATTTCGTTATCTAAATATATGTCTAATTGATAGGTGACCCAAGCTCAGCAAAGGTTGTGGTGACATATCAAATAGTGTCTTTCCCCTCTGCAGAGGTATGCTGCAACCAGCATGAACCTGTTGGAGAGCCAATTGTTAAATTTTCAGTGTAAGCGTTTACACCTCTGAAATGAGCAAAAACTGCAAAGCAGAGCTTGAGACTTTTTTGTTGCTTGCTAGACTTAAGAAAGTTATGGAGATAATGTTGGTAATGCAAATTAAACTTAAAAGTATGTTGTGCACCTGTTTTTCAAATTAGTTGCTAAAATTTTACCAGCACACATCTGCTTTTAGAGTTTGCTATTCCTCTTGCAAACTGTAGATAAGGTAAGAGTAACTTAGTTGACTAGAGATTTTGGAATTGGGTTCGAGGCTAACATTGAAAATTTAGATAAACTCCCTAAAAGGGTAGATAACAGAATACTTTGTTTTGTTTGTAGAAAGAATGTGATTGAGATAATGTTTTCCAGCTGAATCACTGTTAGCTTTTCTACATTATAAGAAACTTTCTACAACTTAGATGATAAGTGATAAACAAAAAATGGAATATTGTTCAAGATGTCAAGTTTAATTAAGTATTCTTCGAGTTGCAGAGTATTTCTGGAATAAAAATATATTAATGTGCTATCTTCAATTCCAAAGTTTCAAGGTACTACATAGATTACTTGTGTCTAAAGTTTCCAAAGGCTATTTGATTCCTGAGAATTCATTCTATTGGCAGTTTTTTTATTTTTAGGAGAAATATGGTTGCCATAAAAGTAAATTACAAGAGACTTTTCCCATTAAACTGTGGATATTTTAAATGCTAATTTGAAACATTAGCTTGTGCTTTAAAAAGTTGTGATAAAAGTATGAAGCGCTGTGGCATAGTTTTAATGACTCTGGGTAAGATATTTAGACTTGAAAGTAACATTTTCATCTAAGTTCAATAAAATAATTTAATTGTAGTTATTTTAAAATTATGGGTTTAGAAAATGAAGCCAGAAAGCATTTATTTTGAATAGGCAAAAATATTCCATAATTGGAAACAAAAGTTAACCTAAATAAATATACATTCTCTATTTTATAGTATTTAGAAATGTTCAACTCAGTTATATCTATCTTATACACATATACTGAGCTTTATATATTTTTGATTAATTATTTGTGTGAAAATAAGATATCTACATTTACCTTCTTAATTAGGTTCCTAAACTTTATCCTCTCCTACTTTTTTCATAAATAGGATATTGGTAGCTATTCAGCATAAACACAGAGAAGAGATAAATAGTGCTGGAATGGTGGTGGCACAGTGGACAGAATGCTGGGCTGGAAGTCAGAAAGACTCACCTTCTTGAATTCAAATCTGGCTTCATACACTTACTAGTTGTGTGACCTTGGGGCAAGTCACTTGACTCTGTTTGGCTTAGTTTCCTCACCTGTACAACAAGCTGGAGAAGGAAATAGCAAACCACTCCTGTATCTTTGCCAAGAAAACCCCAAATGGGGTCATGAAGAGTCAGATTCAACTAAAACGACTCAACAACAAAATCTTCTAATCCCCCTACGGAAACTCCCCCCCCCACCAACCAGTTTATAGCCTCTATTTATAAAGTGGCAAGAGTCTTTACTATTGGGAGATGCCTTGTATGAAATAGCTATTATATCCTCATGGTGCTGGATGAGAGACCTTCTTGCTAGAAAATGCCAGTTGACTTCCTCTTGGATGAGGGAATCATTATGGCAACTTTAGTATCATAGTGCTGGGCCACACTTTCTAAAAATGGAGTGGACATGGGATACAATGCTAGGAAGGAAACATTTTAGGGTCCTTGAATTTATAAGGATGCTCAGGGGTCTCACTGGAAGAATCAAATTAACTTGGCATTCATGATGCAATGTAGGAGCTAGAAATCTGTATTATGGAGTTAATTCTCCCACTAAGTTACCTTTGGGTAACTTAACTTCTCTTCCTTTCTTTTTCCTCACCTATAAAATGAGGGCGTGGGATTCAATTTTCTCTAAAGTCCATTCTAATTCTAAGGGTCTATGCATTTCTCTGGCATAGGTATCGTACCTAAAAGACTATTTTCTAAGACTCCCAAACTGCACATCCACAGACAGAGCTATACCACAGAATGAAGATGCAAACATGCAGTTAATATTACATACGTCCACTTTGAACCTCTTCATTCTTCTCTCATGGAGTTGAGGAACGAGCTGCAGCAAAGGATGGACGACAGACGACTAAGAGGACATGAATACATGAGACACGTGAGCAACCATGATTTCCTGGCCCTGCCCTTTACCCAACAAAATGGCTCCTGGGGAGTCATACGTGGAGAAAAGTAGCTAAAGATTGAACTAGAGTGGTCTCTTTGGAGTACTTTGCAATGTGACAACTTTAATAAACCCACATGGGAAATTGAGCCATAGATTTTTACTGGATGCAAAGTTAGAGTTGTATCCCCTGAATTTTATTCAGGGTGGTTATAAAGTTATCATTTTTGTCAATTTACTTCATTAGTTCTGGAAAAGCATCATCTTGTAATGGAAAGTGTCTCAACTAGCAATCAGGACACCTGGCTCCTATTCAATTCAGTACAACAAACATACTAATTATCTGCCATGTGCAAGGCAATGAGCTAGGTATTGGGAGAACAGAAACCTAAATGATGTAGTACCTGCCTTCAAGTACCTTATATTCTGCTGGTCCCAGATCTGACACTAAATTAGCAAGTCATTTCCTTCTCAGTTTCTTCATCTGAGAGGTGAATTAGGTGAACTCTCCCTAGCTCAGATATTAACAACATGAAGAAACATGTCCTTAACATCAGCAACAGCAAATGCAATGGTCATCTAATGGTATTATGACATTATGCTGTTGCAGCCCCAAAACGCTGGCCATTTGCTTGCAAACTTATACTCAGAGGGATGGTTTGGAATCTGGTAAAAAGCCAGTCAGTGAGATATGATGATTCCTTATACACTGAAAAATGGTTCCCTGGAAACACATAATACTGACACATCTAGCATCGGGCATTGCATTTAAATTGAAGCAAACTGAACAAGACCACAGTGGACACAAAAAGGACAATGATAGGTTAGAGGTGAAAAGTGGGCTGCACTTTTTCAGAATGCCAAAATGGAGGGAAATGAAAGCACATCTGAAACAAGTATACATGTTGCTTGTTTAAAAGGCAGTGGCTAAAACTTAGTTTATTCACTAAGGTCAAGTTCATTCACTAAAAGAAACTATTGCAATTCTTATATAAAATAACTGGACATGCCATAATCTACCATACTCATTCAGAAAAATTCTACAATAACAGCATCTCAGTTGACATCTCTGAGTATCTAATGTACTAAATATTTAAAAGAGTGAAGCATTTGGCTTAAAATTCTTTATGCTATCACCATCTAATTAAAAAAAGAGAGATATAGAAGTTTAGAATACACTAGGCTCTAGACTTAGTCATTAAACTGCATGTTTAGTTGAACACTGAAAAAGTCCATTAACTCAGAGCTCTTATTAGTACATTTTTTTCAAAAAAGGCTAGCGTATTTTATTTTAATGTAGAGGGTTTTAAGTATTTACAAAAAGGGGGAAATTAGTTATTTTTAAAATGAACTTGAACTTCACAGGAAAAACTGAATTCCAGATACAGTTCTCTTAGTTATCTGAGAGAGATTTCTTCCCTAAGGACCTAAATAGTTACTGAGCATTTATTTAGGGACAAGGGAAAAATCTGTACCTAGAAGATTTCTTTCCATTTTGGACAAATATCAATTTTAAATTATTCTAAACACAATAAATATGTCACTCATAAAAGTGGCTAGTCCTTTTAGATAAAATTATTTCTATTTAAAATTTTTTTTTCTGCTATAACAATGTAACAAGAGGTAGTGTGACTTAATGACTGACCTTGAATCAGGAAGACCTGGGTTCAAGTCTTGCCTCTGTATACACTGGCTATCTTACAACCCTGGGCAAGTTGCTTGCTGTTTCAGGGACTCAGCTCTTTAGGATTATAAATTGAAGAGCAGTTGCAAATCCACATTCACAGAGGGATTTCACTATACTAATGAAATCACAGATCCAGATTAAATATTATTATTAATGATATCATGTTATTACTAATGGCATTAAAGGTATCATTATTATTATTATCAGTGGTATTAATAATAATATAATAGAAGTAATCTGGTGTATCAGATAGCAGACTGACCTTGGAGTCAGGAAGACCTGCTTTCCATTTCTACCTCCAACACATTTCATTTATGGGCAATTTAGTTAAGTTACATACAACTCTCTAATTATAGCAACAGTGCCAATTTGTCTCAGCAAAGAAAGTTTGCACACCAGAAGTTACCTACACAAATCAACTTGCAGCTCTAGACTAAAAAGTCCTGTATTTTTACAGCATGTATTATGTGTAATTTACAATGCTCAATGCATTTACATATGCATTTACTCATTTTTAGATAAATTTCTAAAACTCAAATCAACTTTACCTTGAATTTAAAACTATTAGATAAACCACTAATAACAAGAGTATTTTTTTTTTGGTAATGAACATAAGTCCAGATTAGTTACACTCATAAGAAGTGGCTCTGCTACTTACCATAACATCTGAGTTGCCCGAATTATGTGTCTTAGAATAATGAAATAAGAACTGTTTAAAAAAAAAAATATGGGATTTTACTATAGAACATTAATGATTAAATAGACATTTATTTACATAAATATATATTTATTTTACATTATATAAACATATTTATTCAGGGAGACATACACACATATATACAGACATGTCATGTCCCAAAAGTCTTAGTGCAATTTTATACTATTGAATTGGAACACTCTGTATATGTGTATATGACAAGATATGAAAAGCACCTTACCCTTTTGGTATTGTCCTTTTCATCTGATTCCTGTGAGGAAAAGATACATTATATATATTTTTTCATAACATCTCACATATATGTGGTTGAAATATTCTAGGAAATAATATACAAAAGTTTATTAAATAATCTTTGTGACTAAACATTTACAACTAAACACATTTTCCTACTTGGTGATTTTTCTTGCTAATATTTAGTGTTTCTCTTTTTAATTGTCTGTAATAACGCCACATTTCTTTTCTAATGTTGTTGTTGTTGTTTCAGTCATGTCTGACTCTCTGGGACCCCATTCAGGGTTTTCTTGGCAAAGATACTGTAATGGTTTGGCATTTCCTTCTCCAGATTATTTTACAGGTGAGGAAACTAAGACAAATAGGGTTAAGTGACTTGCCCAGGGTCACACAGCTAGTGAGTGTTTGAGGCTAGATTTCAACTCAGGTTCTCTTGACTCTAGGGCCAGCACTCTATCCACTTTACCGCCTAGCTGCCCAGCTTCTTTTCTAACAGTCGAAGGCAAAATTAATATGTTTATAAAAATGAACTCCATTGTTCCACTTACCTTATACTAACTGGCATCTCTGAATCCAGTCAGGGAAATGAATAGGGATAATGTAACCCAATTAATGAAGGGAGGGATAGCTGATTAGGACTTTTTCATTATTACTATTAGAATACACCTTTTGTTAGTGGAGCTGTGGAAATAACTAGATAAGAGAAACAGCCTAAAGCTAATTTGTCAACCCCAGAAGATATAGATATTTATCTTTTATTTCATTTTCAACTTTTTTCCCTATTTCTCCTGATAGTAAGTTTTCACATGACAGTCAGCAAATTAAAATATAGAACAGCTATAAGAAAACAGGAGTATTTTCTCCTAGTTTGAATTCTATGAGGTAATTAGTAGCTTTTAAAATAGAATATTTTAAAACTTAAATTACCTGTGGTTTTGGTAAAATCCCCATAATCATATAGCAAAGGTCTTCCAGTTCACTGGATACCTAGAAGAAATTTTTAGGAAATCCAGACATTAGGGGCTAAATTTCTCATTTAACAGCAAAGTACATATTTATTTATTCCCAGGAGCACACAGAGATCCAATTAGCAAAGGCAGTGTCCTTCTCATGGCCCATCTAGATTTTTCTAAAATGCTTTTGGTTTATCTGATGGTAACAACTTGGCTATTGGAGCGATTATCTCTAATCCAATCAAAACACATATGGGGATAGGCTTGTGTAGCATCTAGAACAAACTATCCACCTCTGATCTGAACATGTTATAGTTAATTCTCAACCAGTTTCTTTTGCCTCTAAACATCCTCCAATGAGACAGGAAAAAGAAAGGAAGAACTAATCAGAGAATAGATGATAACTTCAGTGAAAATTGTATTTGGCGTTGGAGGAATATGGAATAATGTCATCATCATTGTCCAAATGTATTTTTCCAAATCTGAATGCAGCCTTTAATCAACTTTGTTTTTCAGTGTGTTTGGGTTCTTTTCCTTTTCTTAGAGGTCTTATTTTAGGAGTATGGCTTGTATTTTAAACCATCTTGTATTCAGACAAATATAGTTACATTTTTAAGCAATTATATTTGCATGTGAATTAGCATGTTGAAGATAGGGTAGGAAGGGGGAATGTTTTTAGTTATTTTCTCTCATGTGACTTGTCTCCAAGTTTCCCAGTGGCTACTCTTTTGCTTCCACCCCTGGAAGCCTTGCTGGGTCATGGGAGAATATGAAAATAGATGCAATGCTGAGGACAAACATCGTATTGTTGTTTTCACTAAAGGTTTTCCCCATTACTAAATGGATAGTAAGTATTTTAACCATTGGCATTAACAGGTATACAAAAGAGATGATGATATATCTGCTGCCTGCTGTTAGAAGCACCAAACCTACCGGCATTATAAACAAACACACAAGAAAACAAACATTAAACATTCACTAGCTGAATTTACCTGAGGCTGAGGGTCAACAGACAGGAAACTGGAACAAGCGTTATCTAGCTGTGAAAATATAAGTTAGAATCTGAGCTATCAGACTAGCAGAAAATACAGCAATAGTTTAAAAAATTCATCTAGAGGATTTAAAATGGTAAAGTCACTTAATTACTAATCACTGTATCTTTCATGAAGTTCCATGGCAGCTCAGGCTGTGGATGATAGGAAAGTCCTTCTGAAACCTCCTAGGACCAGAATGGGACCGTTAATCACAGTTATATGATACCCCAATATTAGGTGAAAGGTATTAGCAGATAGCCACTCATTTTTAAAGCTTTAGAGAAGTCTTCAAAAACAGTGAAGACTTGTGATAATATATATTACACAGATACAAAGATATCATGGGCCAAATATATATGTGTATGTATATATATATATATATATATATATATATATATATATATATATATATATATATATATACATACATACATATGTATAATGTGTGTGATTCAGTAAGTCAGTCAGTAAACATTAAGTGCTTACTATGTGCCAGGTACTGTGCTGAGCACTAGGAATGCAAAGAAAAGAAATGTTCCTATTTTCCAGGAGCTTACAATTTAATAGTAGAGACAATGTGCGCACAATTATATAAAATTAAGCTGTATACAGGAAAAATTGGAAATAATTAATAGAAGGAAGGCACTAGAATTAAGGCTTCCTATAGAAGGTGGGATTTGGGAAGCCAGAAGGTGAAAATGAGGAAGGAGAGCATCCCAAGCATGGAAGATAACCAATAAAAATCCCTTGAATCAAGAGATGAAATATCTTGTTTGAGGAATTGCAAGGAAGCCAATCTAGAAAATGAGTGCTAACCTTTCTTATATCAGGGTTATAAGAAGGGTTAGATGAAGGTATATTGAATTATAATTTGTGGACAGTTGTTTTGAATCACTTCCCTTTTACTTTTTAAACTTTATTGGTTGGAAAAAAACATTCAAACTATATAAGATGAGATGTTTAAAGGTAATTTATATACTAGAAATAAACCAAGTAGAAGAAACAAGTTGACATAATATAAAATTAATTAGACATATGTAACCTTATTATTATTTGTGTCCATGCTGCAGTACATATGCAATCCTTAATGATTATATATTATACTTTAATTTGTTACTGTTTGTTAAGTTGATATGAGGAAAATTGAAAGGAAAATTATTACTTCAAAAGGAAGTATTTGCAATAATTTTCCATTATACTTTGTATTTCTTCTAGTATTGTCTTTCAAAAAATTTTTCCAGATATCACCCACAGAACTATAGATGATTTCAAAATAATACATATTTTTATGGTTGTATATTTATATCTACTATCCTATTAATCATATGTATTATTCTATTTATAGATGTATTTCTAGTTTGTATCTTCATTCACCTTTATTATATATGTCATTCTAAGTTTTTTGAATTTCTATACTTTTAAAAATTATTTAGAAGCCAAATATGTTCTATTTATAGTCTCTTTTCCAGAACATTGGAAAGAATTATTCCACATTATCAATTATACCAAAATTATATTTAAAAATAATAGTGATACTAGATAATAGAGATCAAAGAAAATGAAAAAGGACCCATATCATAAAAATATTTATAGCAGCTATTTTCATAGTAGCAATAAAACAGAAAATTAAGGGGGTACCGCCAATTGGGGAATGGATAAACAAATTGTGACACATCAACATAATGGAATATTGTATTGTAAGAAATGTCAAAATGTTTAAGAGAAGAGGCAGTTAGGTGGTGCAATGGATAGAGCACAGGCCCGGGAATCAGGAGGACCTGAGTTCAAATCTGGCCTCAGACACGTAACACTTGCTAGCTGTGTGACCTCGGGCAAGTCACTTAACCCCAATTTCCTTACAAGAAGGAGAAGAAGAAGAAGAAGAAGAAGAAGAAGAAGAAGAAGAAGAAGAAGAAGAAGAAGAAGAAGAAGAAAACTAATGCAATGGACACTTTGATTCTAGCACACCAAAGATTAGCATTCTGCATATCTCCTGAGAGAGGTGATGGACTTAAAATGCAGAATGAGGCATATGTTTCTGTAAATGGCCAAAAAGAGAATTTGCTTTTCTTTGCTATGCATATTTGTTACTAGGATTTTATTTCTCTCTCTTTCTCTCTTTTTTTTGGTAGTTGTTGAACTTATTGTTGTTCGATGGGGGAAGAAGTGAGAAAAAAATTGCTTGAAATTGAAAATAGGAAAATAGTAAAATCAAATAAAAAATACTAATAGTGGATCACAAAGAAACAGAAACAAATGAAAACAGTACCACACTGTTTGATAAAAGTGAAAATATAAGTTACATGAGTATAAACTTCCCTTTTTTGGAACAAAACTGGTTAGGAAAACTGGAAAGCAGTTTGGAAGAACTGAGGTTTAGATTAAAATCTTACACCATATATCATAAGTTCAAAATGGAGATTCAACCTGAATATTATAAAAATTTAGAAAAGGTATTCCTGACTATGGTTAAGGGAAAGTTCTTAACTATACAAGGAATAGAGGAGATAATAAAAGCAAACTAGACAATTTCAATTTCATATCATTTAAAGCCTTTGCATGAATAAAATCAATGAAGACAGAAGTGAAACCACAGAATGGGAAAAAATGAATGCGTCAAACTGATAGGAGAAAGATGTCCAAGTTATAAAGGGAATTGACACAAACATATACCAAATTCAATTACTCTAAAGTCAAATGGGATGAAAGATATCATCTAGTAAGTTAATTTTCAAAAGAAGAATTGCAAACTATAAATAACCATTTGGAAATAATGCTATGGAACACTAATAGTAAAATAAATACAAACTAAAATAATTAATAGACTTTACCTCAAACCCACAAGTCAACAAAGGCCACAGAAAATGGAAAAGTTTAGTATTGACAATGCTATGGGAAGACAGGCACAGTAATACACTGTTGGTACAGCTATGAATTGGCTAAATATTTTGGATTTCAATTTGGAATTATATGAGAAGTGACTAAACTCTCCGTATCCTCTGATCTAGTGATCCCACTACTGGGTAGATGTCCCCAAGGGAGTTAAAGACAAAGATCTCATATATACCACAATATTAATGGTAGCAAATAACTGGAAATAAAGTGAGTATACATCAGTTGGGGAATGGCTGAAAAAAAAAACAATGTTCTAAGAAATAATGTAATATTATTTTATAGTAAGAAATGGCTAATGGGAGGAATTCAGAGAAACATGGGAAGCTTTATATGACCTGATCCAGAATGAAATAAGCAGAACTCTCTCTCTCTCTCTCTCTCTCTCTCTCTCTCTCTCTCTCTCTCTCTCTCTCTCTCTCTCTCTCCTCACACACACACACACACACACCCACACATATATAATATGTATGTCTATATAATGTATATTATATTCTTGTTGTTGTTGATTCATTTTTCAGTTGCATCCAACTCTTTGTGACTCCAATTTGAGTTTTCTTGGCAAAGATACTAGAGTGGTTTACCATTTCTTTCTCCAGCTCACTTTACAGACAAGGAAACTGAGGCAAACAGGGTTAAGAAACTTGCCCAAGGTGATATAGCTTGTAAGTATCTGAGGCTGGATGTGAACTTAGGAAGAGGAGTCTTTCTGACTCCAGGCCTGGTACTCTATCCACTGTGCCACATACACACACACAAATATATATATGTGTGTGTGTGTATATATATATATATATATGTACATATATATACATACATACATATATACATATATAATTACAATATAAATTAAAAGAGTATTAACTGATTGAAATGTCATTAAAGGAAAATAAAATTTGAATAATTGAAAAAGCTAATGATGATTCTGGACAATAAATAACTAAACATTCATTCTTTGTCACAGCACAGGGGCTTGTCAAGGCAGAATGTTGATTATATTGTCAGATTAGTCACTGTGGCATATGTTTTACTTAATTAACTTTGCTATAAGAGGAGTTTTAATGAAAGTGTGAGCATAGGTTCCAAAAATGATTGTCATGTAAATATAAAAGATGTAAACTTGTTAAAACAGAAAATCACAGATTTCCAATGCTCAGTTACAATACTACATTTTTTTTTAATTTTAAAGCATGGGAAAAAGATTACATTCAAATTTATCTTTAAAAATCTGAGCTAGAGCTTTAAAAGAAGAAAGGATATGACAAATTTTTTACCTTGTTCCACAGCTGTAACTCTTTGTCTGTCTGTATTGCCAAAGGTGATACGGGAACACCTGAAAATAAAAGCAACCTAGTTTTAGAGTCAATTCTTTCCAGTTTGGCTGCCTTCACTTTATTCTTCTAAGCTCAAACAATTCCTCTATATTTTTTGTTTTTAGATTCTAATACCTATTTTCTAATTGAAAATAAGGAAAGACGTTGCTAGAATATCATAGGATTATAAGGAATGAAGGTTTTAGCTAATGTTTAAATAATACAAAGCCAAAAGGAATTCTAAAGATATCAACCAGTCCATGGGTTCTTAACATTTTTTGTGTCAAACCCTTTAGCAGTTTGGTAAAGCCTCTGGACACCTCAAAATATTAGAATCAATGCTAAATTTCATTTAGGGATATGAAGGGAAAATGAAGATGTAATTTTTTTCCCATCCAAGTTCATGAACACTGAAATCTATCCCACATATCTATTCAATCCCCCTTCCCATTTTAATAATGAGGAAACTGATACCTCGAGAGGTTGGTACTCATGTAAGATCTAACTGCCACAAAATGAGAGGGTCAAGACCAGTCTCCTAACTCTCAATTTAGAGCCCATTTCACTGTATATCCTATTTCTTTACTGTGACTACATTAAAATTAAAAAAAAAACAAATACCTTTGAATATCTGCAGAAAATAACTCCTCATCTATGTTCAGAATGTTTTTTTAAAACATCCATCACAAATCATGTAACATAAAAATCAAGGTGGAAAGGGTTTTGATATTCATAAACTATGTTGAGTAGAAGTTTATAATTTCCTTCCAACATTTTACTATAGATTTTAAAGAAATCAAACCTGTGATTTCATTGGAATAGGGAAACCCATCTAGCAATAGATCTAAACAATATGATTTTTCAACTTATACTTTTAGAGGTTTTCATGGGGCAATAAGAAGCTAAGTGATTTGCTCATACTCATGTAACCCATATAGGATGTGGAGGCTGGCTCTCTGGTTTCTATATTTCACTCTCTCTCTATGGCTAGAAGCTACTGATACATGCCATGTACTTTAAAAAAAAAATGAGTGCTCCAAGTACTTTTATAATTGTCCTTACAAATTTCAGGATCCAAGAGCTTCTAGGCTATTGGTTATCAGGGATTTTCAGAAAGTAGTATACCTCTGCTCTTATGGCTAATGATTAACCAATGATAATAACCAGTATTTATATGATGTTTTAATACTATAAAGAGCTTTATGTACATAAAACCTCATTTGATACCGCAATAATCCTGGTAAGATAGTCAAGAAAGTATTATCCTCATTTTGTAGATGAAGAAATTGAGGCTTAGATGGGGCAAGTGATTTGTCCAGGGTCCTGCATCTATTCAAATGCAATATGCTTGACATGAAGCAAGACTGTAAGACCAGTTCAGTGAGCTATGAAACTTCCTGTTTCCTCCCAGCTCTCAGTCATCAGTTTGTCTAATCAGAGAACCCAGGGAAGGATCTTAGTTCTCCATTGACCATGGGAAAGTTATTTAACATCCCTGGACCTCACTTTCTCCATATGAAATATGAGGGGCCTATGGACCTCTAAGGTTTCTTTCAGCTCTGATCCATGAACCTGGGATCCAAATACAAGCCACTTTTCACAACTTTCCTATTCATCAAGAATCTAGAGCTTGAACTAAAAGGGCTATCAGTGGTCCTACTTTCTAATTTACTCATTTTACAGTTTATGAAACTGGGACTCAGGGAGGTTAGACAACTTGTCCAAAGTAACAGGTAGTAACACAGGTAACAGAGGTAGAATTTGAATCCAGGACTTCTGATGGCAGAACCTTTATTCTTTCTACTATAGAGGGCTGTCTCCTAGCCACTTAATTAGTTGTGTGACCTTGGACAAGTAACTTTCTTCTTATGAGTCTCAGTAAAATACAGGGTGTGCCTAAAGTCTTAATGTAAAAGACTGCACTAAGACTTTGGAGATGTCCTGAAGAGATAGCAAACCTACTTTTCAGGGCTGTTCAGAGAAGAATAAAAGTTTTCTAAACTGTAAAGTGCTATATATGAGTTGAGTTGGTGAGAAGGGGGGGGAGAAAAAGGGAGAGGGAGGGAAGGAGAGAGAAAATGTGTGTGTGTGTGTGTGTGTGTGTGTGTGTGAGAGAGAGAGAGAGAGAGAGAGAGAGAGAGAGAGAGAGAGAGAGAGAGAGAGAGAGAGAGAGATGGGGAGAGAAGGGTGGGGGGAGGGAGGGAGAGAGCAAGCGAACTAGCTAGCGAGGGCTTTTATTGAATGTTTTCTGCCTAGAATGACTTTAGAAGCAGCACAGGTTGAAAATCAGGAGAAAGCTTGAAGGTTTCCCACTCCAAGTTTGTACTCCCAGCATTTTACTCTTCTTGAATTTACATGAGAATAAAAATTATACAATTTCTCTATTCCGCCACCTGCGACTCCTTCCCTCCCTACCCTTTCACACACACACACAAAAAAAAGGCTAAGAATTGTTACTCTTTCACTTGCCAAGACCGAGAGCCTAGCGCAAAATCTAAACCACACTTCCTGATGATTGTGAGCACAGGTGTTTGTGGAGCCAGGTATCACGCATTGCTGTCAGTCATCTTATTTCACACTAACATAGTCTCAGCAAATACTTCTCAAACATGGAAAGGACTCAATGCCTTAAGCATTTGTAGAAGGCCTCCTGTTGATGCTGAATTGAACGAAAGGACCACTCCTCTGGAAATTGAAGCTGTCAAGTATCGCTAGACCTTAGAGATGGTTAAAAAAAATAAAAGTAGGAGAATCCTAGCGGATGAGAAAGCATGTTCTCCATCTGCATGAATGGAAGAAATAGCCAGGCAGACCATTAAAGGTCATATAAGTAAGGACAAATGCCGGCTTAAATTAAAATTTTCTCTCATCTTTGGGCTAAAATGATCTCCGATATTCCTTGCAGCTGAATGTAGTTTAACTGGAACAAGAGAAAGGCAACTGGGAAGCAATGGACTGTGGAGAGAGAAAAACTGGAGGAGAGAAGAAAAGGAAGGGTGATTTCATGAGTAAATAAGAGGCTATTTGTGAGGGGAGAGGATGGGTGCTCTGACTTCCTGGCTCTTAAACAGATACAGGATTGGACTGACTGGACAGGGCGCCTGAAGAAGAGCTAGGCAGGTTCCTTACCTTGGCAGATGCACGCCCAGGAAGCGAGGAGCAGCAGCAGGAGGGGAGCAGCTGGACGTCCACATCCTAACAGCTGTTTCTCAGCCCCAGAGTAGCCAGTCAGCGGAGTCAGCTGACGGCAGCTGTGATCCCTGCGCATCCTTGAGTTTTTCCGCTGCCCAGAGATGCTTGTTGTGCTGCGGATGGCCACAGCCGAGCACGTATGTGCTCCCCAAGTTCCCCACAGGCTCCTCCTAGTGGCCTCGAGTGTCCTGGGAGCACCTGTTCTTTGCTTCCCTCTGCGGAGCTGCCGATCTGACAATTCTTCTCTGCTCAAACTTTTAAATCTCCAGAACCCGTGGGCCGAGCCTGCTTTGAGCCTCTTGGCGCGCGTCACCCGCCTTCTACCACCTCTTCACCTCCCTCAGCCTCCACCTCCTGCCCCCCTGTCCCTGCGTCAGTTCTGCATGACCTGTCCTCCGGGGCAAGTTGCCTCTCTAGGCGAAGCAGCCCACTTGACAGTTGGCTCTGACTCAAGGTTCCTCCTTTCTTCTCTATTTCTTTTCCCTTCCCTCCCCTCTGAATTCTAGACGAGAAGCAGAGATTTGTATTAAAACAATAATTTTTGTCAAACTTTTTCATCTCTGACTCCCATTGGAGGAGAAAAGGAGGAAGAGAAAGCCAAAATGATGGTAAACAGTTCCCAAATGATTTCTGATGAAGACTGTGGCTAGAGATTCTTAGTGCTGACAACAAATCAATTTCCTGTAAGGATCTGGAGACCAGATAGATCTTGTAAAACAGAGTGGGGGGGGGGGAGACAACAATGAAAGACTCGTCCCTTCTTTCCCAGCCTAAAAGATAGTTTTCCAGCTTTCCTTGAGAGGGACACGCTAAAAGTTGGGCTTTTAGAAAATGATGGATCCATAGAAAAAGCAGTCAGGGGGCAGCTAGGTGGTTTAGTGGATAAAGCATATGCCCTGCAGTCAGGAGGACCTGGGTTTAAATTTGGCCTCAGATAGACAATTTCTAGCTGTGTGACCATGGGCTAGTCGCTTAACCCCACTTGCCTTACACAAAAAAAGAAAAAGCAGTCACATTCTTCTTCCAACAAGAATGTCCCTTCAGAGCCAGGTTAAGCTTCCACGTCCCCTTGTAGATTTACTTTCTTTCTTCTCCTATCCTTTCTCTTCTTTCTACATCTTACTGCTTAGGGTCACTATTTTTAGCTGCTAAATTCTAAATTTCTTAGTGACTTGTGCTCCCAATTCCTCTATTATCCCAGCCCACCTACTGTTTGGGTGGTATCAGGTGCAGGAAACTGAGCCTTTGCCAGGACTACACCCATGGTGGGCACCACATCATCTGGAGACTTAAACTAGATATAACTTTCTCCTATTCATGACAATAAAGGGGGAACAAAGGGAAAATATTAATCACCTGCCTTGTCTCCAAATTCCCTTTTGAAAGGAGAGTTTACTCATTCATAATATACAAATGTGTATCTACCTCAAAGGGTTGTTGTAATGAGATCTTGTGTGTAAATTCCTTTGAAAAGGACGATATATATGAGATAGATTCCCTGTACCTCTGCTGTGTGCCCCCCCCCAATCACTCTGCTTGGATCCAGTTCTATTTGTTGTCGTTTAGTCATTTCAGTCAGTTTTCTTGCTACTAGAGTAGTTTGCCATTTCCTTCTCCAATTCATTTTACAGATGACGAACTGAAGCAAACAAGGTTAAGTGACTTGCCCTAGGTCACACATCTAGTAAGTGTCCGAGGCCAGATTTGAACTCAGAAAGATAAGTCTTCCTGACTCTGGGCCAAGCACTTTATCCACTGTGCCACCTAGCTGCCCTGAGAATAAGGCACTGAAATGCTAAAAAAAAAAAAAAAAAAAAAAAAAAAAAAAGGACACTGAAGATGGAGACTGTGTTTATAGTTTTGCTTAGGACCACTTTTGGTTGCTACTTTGTAACAGCCTGAATAAGGCTCTTTCCCTCTAACATTGTCATCATATTCATTTATCAGCAAAGGGTATGGTCCAGGCAGTTTGGAATACTGACCTTTGGAAATGAGAGCCCAAACAGGCTGCTTGGGTATGGAACCAAGCTAAGGGCCAGATTGGAGCAAATACTTATTAGGGTTATAATAAAATGCTATTTCAAAGCTTGGTCAAATGTAAGTGTATTACCATAGAGTGAGAGTCATCAATGAAGAGGGTTTCCTTATTACTCACTGTTCCTTAGTTTTTGAAAACTGCTGCCTTAAGTGTGGATTTAGGTCAAACACACTTAGTAATGGAAGCTGTTTGGGCACTAGTGAATGAAGATAGTGGAAGGTGAGAGCTGTCTTTAAGTATCTGAAAGTCTGTCATGTAGAAGAAGGATCTGAATCTTACCTTCCACTATGTCAGGTGGCAGTGTGAAGGTATTATACTATTGTACTAATATTGTACTATCATACTACACTGCTGTAAAGCTCTCTACTCTGCTCACCCTCTGACAATGAAGGAAGAGGTTTTGGGGATGTTATTTGCTGCTGTAAGAAAAAACCAAGACTGGTGAAATCCTGACATCACTTCTGACACTCTTTCCTGTATGGCTGGTGGATGGTATTGGAGATTATGGAGGCACCAGTTTGAAATAATCCATCAACAATGTCTGCTTTGTTCTCCATTTGAGATCCTTAAGGGTCTCAGAGTATGAGAGTATAGCAGAGGTGAGTTGATATTTAATCTTGAGGCTGCCATTGATACTGGAATCAGCAGTCCTCAATTTCTCTAGGCAAATGGTTGATTATGCCAAGCCACCCTTCCAGCTTGGAAACTATGAGTGGCACAATCTTGGGAACTTGTTCATTGTCATCATCTATGCTGTCCCAAAGACCTCCCCGAGCCATTGCATCTAACTCCTCATTTGTCAACAGTTCCATAAACTTGCATGCATCATGCCTATCATTTTTTTCCTCTATTGTGCATAGCCACAAATGAGCCTGGTTGCCAATGCAAAGATGAAAATGAGGTTACTTATACAATCACATGAATGCTCAAAGTCACAAAAATTAAACACATGAAAATTGAGGATTGACTGTATATGCAAAGGGGGTTTATGCTAGATATGACTAAATTTTAGTGGTGTCAAGGTACAGATTCTCAAATTAAAGAAGGGAAAGACACCAATGATGTCAACAAAAATTTTGGCCCTGATTACCCCCTCCCCAAAAGGATGACTTTAAAGAATATTGAAGAACTTTAATAACTATCTATACTCATATGCCTACTTTCTCATCTATAGAAAGTATTTATGAAAATATTTTGTACTCAATAAGCATGTCCTAGGTGAAAGTGCTAAAGGGGAACAGGCAGGCTTTCATGAATGATATTCTACAATAGATTTTACCATCACATAATAGATTGAAAGATGTAGAGAAACGAAAGCCCATTAGGTTTATTGTTTTACCATTTTTTAAAAAGCATTTGATTTGGTAGAATAAAACATTGCCTAAAAGGTTCTCCTCCAACAAGATGCCTCTCATAGATATATAAAAATTATACACGATTCCTTGAAGGATTGAATAATGGGGATAACTTTGTTGGACTATCTCCTGATCATGGCTATTAAGTGAGGCCTAACACAGACAGATGTAGGCCCTCCAACAGTGGTCTGAGTACCAGGGTGGAGGAGATCTAGCTCAGAGTCCAAGTGAAGGAGGGATTCTCTATAGATGGTGTGATCCATGTAGTTCTATTCAAAAGTGATATTGAGATTATTACACTGAGCCCCCAGAATATTAAAGAACTTTCTAAATGAAATCCAAAATAATTCAAAAGGATTTTGCCTAATTAGCCATATGAGAAACTAAATGTATGAAGAATGTTTATTGATAATACTGATAAGCAACTGATAAGCAATTGGATGATTATAAAGATAATCTACACATGTACACATGTAATTTATTATATACATTATATGCATACACATACATATATATGTTTAATGGACAATCACTGCAAATGGATAATGAGCTGGGCCAAGAACTAAACAGGAAGATGTTAGCAGGCTGATTACCTCTGAAAAATGGCAAAGTTCTTTCAACTCCAAGTTTCCTCCTCAAGCAAAGGCTAGTCTTTCTTTTTTAATGTTCTTCTCATGATGTTGTAGGGTCACAAGTCTGAGTATACTGCAGTCTCCTCAGTACTGTTTCCGTTGGCCGTCCAAAGAGGCATGTTAGAAGAAACACACTTGAACAGATTACCAATAAGGAATTATGAAGGAGAAATAATGTAAAGAATATGAGAGAAATGTGATTGAAAAAGATAAGACAGTCACATAATATGATCAAAGGATAACTAAAGGGCAACCTGCATGCTCTATTTGTGGCTTTGTGTTGACAAAAGGACATGAGGAAGGGCTCCAGTAGATTGAGTCAACTCCTGGGGTAAAGTGATGTGAGAACAGGATGGGTAGGTATACTGGAGGTACTGTGATCATCATGGTAGGGGTGACATGTATGAGGTCACAGGTCCAGGGGAATATATCTTCAACACATGTCACAGGGCCTTGCACATAGTCTGTGCTTAGTAAATGTTTGCTGAATTGAATTTGAAAAGTAAGATTATGTGATTCACTTTACATTTTATCAACCAAATTTATTGAGGGAATTCTTGAACATTTTCCAAATAATTCTTCATACAGAAGATGCAAAAGTATAATTATATAACATTTTTAAAAACTTGGCGTTCCTTCTTTTTGTGGTGGCAAAGAATTGGAAATTGAGAGGATGCCCATCAATAGGGGAATGGCCGAACAAGTTGTGGTATATGAATGTAATGGAATACTATTGTGCTATAAGAAATGATGAACAGGCTGACTTCAGAAAAACCTGGAAAGACTTGTATGCTCTGATGCTGAGTGAAATGAGCAGAACCAGAACTTGTAGACAGTAACAGCCATATTGGGTGATGACTAATATTGATAGACTTAACCCTTCTCAACAATCCAAGGATCTAAGGTATCTCCAAAGGCCTCATGATGGAAAATGCTATTCACATCCAAAGAAAGAACCATGGAGTTTGAATGCAGATCAAAGCATACTATTTGCTATTTTTTCCCTTCTGTTGGGTTTTGTTTCCTCTTTCTGGTTGTTCCCCCTATTGGATCTAATTCTTACAATATTACTAATGTGAAAATATGTTTAATAGGAATGTATATGTACAGCCTATATCAGATTGTGAGCCATCATGGGGAAGGAGCTAGGGAGGGAGGGGGAGAAAAAATTTAAACTCAAAAGCTTATGGAAGTGATTGTTGATAATTCAAAATAAATTAATAATAAAAAACAAACAAAAAAAAATTGGTGTTCCTGAAAGAAGTGGATTTGGTCCTACACCACAAATCTTATTCTCCCCATTTTGGACATGTAGCCTCTTCACCTCCATTGTCTGATTTCCTGTATTCTTCATTAACTTAACTTGCTGAATCAGAGATGGAATACTGTTAATTCTTTTATTTAATGTGACCAGAAAAGGGGAAACAATTGTAAAAAATAATCACTTTGTAAAATTAAATTTTAAAAAAAGCTCTGTTGAGTAGGTGGAAGATTTGCAAGATTTTTTAAAAGGCTCATGTTTCATAGTTAATTTTGTTATTAAAGGTGGCTTTCTTACACATGGATTTAGCTCACATTGAGTTAATTGGCTAGATTTTGTCAGTGTACACTGTGGTTTTGTAAGCTCTTGGTGCATGTATATTGAATGTTAAATGCAATAAGAACAATAAAATGTCAGTAACTCAGAATATCTAAGTCTGAATTATGCAATCTGTTACATCTGAGTTCTCTAGAAAATGCCCTTGGGTCAGGCTCTCAGAATAAGTAGTATCATAAATGCAACTGAAACTGTTTTTAAAAGAACTCTTATTATTAATCCAGTCCTTGCTAGAACACTGACCCCCTTGCTTCATAAGGACCGTAGCAAATATTGCTACAAGATTCCAGATACCTAGAGACGCACTCACACCCATATTCCCCGCCCCCCACCACCATACACACACCATTCTTCTGGGTGGCTTCTCTGTAGGTTGGCATGCTGGAGAAAAAACACAGAAATATAAGCATGTCAGGAAAGTTTCTCCTCATAAGGACAAATATAAAGGTATCTTTCTCAAAAAAGAGAGTGCAGCTAGGTGGTGCAGTGGATAGAGAACCAGCCCTGGATTCAAGAGGACATAAGTTCAAATCCGGCCTCAGACACATAACATTTACTAGCTGTGTGACCCCGGGCAAGTCACTTAACCCCATTGCTTAGCATCCCCCACTCAAAGAAAAAGAAAAAGAGTGACCCACTCACTTTCAAAATAAATCTCATTAGACCTCCAAGATCCAGGTCTTTTTGTACCTCCCTGGGTGATCCATTTTTTCACGTAAAAGTTTAAGTTAAAAAGAACTGAACCATTTGCATATAATATCTAATATGAATTTCTCCTGATTGTCCATCAAATATTAGAATCACTTCTTTGGAGGGCACTGGGATCAACATTGCACATAATTTTAGGTATCAAAGCACAAGCAGAATATGCCAGCATCCACTTCCACCCAGTACTGACTTTTCCCACGTTTGATGAAGTCAGGGCTCATCCTTCAGGAATCTGCACATATACAATCCTTCACAAACTGTAGGGATCCACACTCTAATACATCCATAAGCTTCCAGGGAATCAATACTTAAGCATTCCCAGACCTCCTTATAGTGACTAACATTATCTCAGCATTCACAGTCACAGATTTCAGTCTCTAATCACAGGCTCTTTATCACTATGGGCTCATTGTTTTACTAACATGCTATTCTTGTTCTCTGCATCAATTCAACTCAAAAACTGTTCCACATTCTGATGACTACCCCAGGGATAAGTTTCTCTTCCATGCTTTTCCCACTGATTACTAGATTCAGGAGGACATTCTGATTACTCCTTTTATGGCCCAGGATCTAGTGGACACCTATCAGCAACGATAGGCAGCTGCAAACCTTCTATTCCAGCGTAGCTATTTCCCCTTCAGAATCTCTCAACCTTAGTTTTCCTCCAGCTTTGTAAACAATCCAGACCATCAGAAGTCACAAAAGTGTGCCAACCTAGTTAAAATTCCTGGCCCTGATAGCAGCGCTTCCCTATCCTCAAGGATCCTTTCACCGACACAATCAGCTCACAGAGCAAGCTGAAATCCCTTTTCAGCTTCGGTTGGCTTGGCGCTGTCTGTTACCTTAGTGCTGAATCTTCCAGATTTCCATTGTGTCATAACTACTGACCATGGTTCTGATATGTTTGAAGAAAAAAATAACCTATGTTCCTTTCTCATCCATATTGTAATATTCTCTACCAAATATAATCACTCAAAAAACATTTTGAGTGCCTACTATGTGAAAGACTATGAAGGGATAAAGAGATACAAAACACGAATCCTTTTCTCCAAGATCATACAACTGACTGGAAGAGATAAGACACTCAAGTCTAATATGAGGAAATGTATGGTAAGACAATGAAGTTACCCCTTCTGCCTGGATTCTTTATGGAGGTTATTGGACATGAGCTGCATCTTGAAGGTAAAGCAAAATTTCAATGAAGAGAAGTGGGAATTTGGAAAGGTTGTTAAAGATGGATGGAATCTAAAAGAGCAAGTTAAATCCTTACTAATTTTGGAAACAGGCTCAGGGAGATGAAGGCATATGCCTAGGGCATTATGGGCACAGGAAACCATAAAAACAAAGGCATAAAGCCATTAAAGAATAGCATGCACTAAGGAGAAAGTGAGTAGACCAGTTTGGCTGGTGAAGAGAGAGTTTGAGTAGGAAATACTATTGAGGACTGGAAAAAATATGTGAAGAATCATATTGTCAAAAGCTTGAATGCAAGCTAAGATGTTTGAACTCACAGACATTGGGAACTGTTGAAAAATTTTAAGCAGTGTAGTGACATGATGAAAGTCTATTTTAGGATGATCAATCTGGTAGAGGTTTGCCTTCAGATTTGAGAGGGAGGGACTAGAAGCAGGATTAAATTAATCTAGTCATGAAATCATTATGGCTTGGACTAGCAATGGGACTCAACAGTGACATAGTGACATAGGAGGCAGAAGATGGTTCAGTGGAAATTCCACTGAATTTGGTCACAAGACCCAAGTTCAAATCCTTTGACACTTGCCTATGTGACTTTAGGAAAGTCCAAGACCTCTCTAGGCCTCAGTATCCTGATCTGTAAAATAATAGGTTGGACTAGATGACCTCTAGAGTCCTTACCAGTTCTAGAGCCATGAACCTTTGATCCCAAGACAGAAAAACTATGGAGATCTTCCCCTTTGTATCCAATTGTAGAAGAAGATTGGTTTTGGCAGAACATTTTGACTCTGCCTGAGATTAGTGCCTAGTACAGCTTAATGAGAAATAAGTGGAATGGCAGGTAGGAAAAACAGCTAGCAATTATAGGAAGTGTCAAAATGAAAACTGAATAGTCATCTATTTTATTCTCCTTATTGAAAAAAATGATAAAACTGAGACTTGGATAGGTTGAGGAAATTTTCTAAGGTTACACAAGCAACATATGCTCTATTTTCTAAGAAAAGTAACAGGGTAGTTTGCACTTTCTCATATCAAGCTGTGATAACTCTTTGTATCATGTAAAATATTTGAGCTGAACCTGGGGAAGGTCTGGGAGCCATTGATTCTCTCATGCTTTCAGGAATTCCATTCTGTACTGAGACCTATTGTTAGCCCAGGAAGTTCCAGGAGGTAGAGTCACTTCTGATGGAGTCAGGAATATGTTGAAATGGTTCTACCTATTGATTATTGTTAATTTCATAATAAAATGCTTTAAAAATAAAAAATAGAACAAAAAACATAATAATTAAACACACACCCATGTCACACAGGAAGAATGATATGCTACGGATGGTATTGTGCTAGTGTGAATACTGCATCTTTGAGAAACCTGATCTTTTCATCCATACCCCTTCCTCCGCACTTTTTTTTAAACTCATGATATCTCCCTAAGATAAATGTATGGCTGTGAAATAACTAAAATTCCCCAAATATACCATTTTAATGTCAAAGTTAAAAATCAAATAATGAATTACCTTTTGTGCCAAAGTGACATTTTCTCTTGGTTAATGTTATCCAAGTAGTTAAAGAATCACCCTGTCATCTAAGCTACAACACTACATTTGCCATTTATTTGATCTATTTTACTTGATGCTAATATAGTTGTGTTTAACATGAGAGATGTTTGAAAATGACGCTATGAAATGAGGAGCTAAATAATATAGATATGTTTTACATGATTTCACATGCATAGTTGATATCATATTGTTTGCTCAGTGGTTGAGGGAGGGAGTAGGAGGGAGTGTGGGAGAGAATTTGGTACTCAAATTTTTAAAAAATGAATGTTAAAGATAAATAAATTTTATAAGTTTTGAAAAAGAGGCTGAATAAAGGAGAACAACAATGGAAAGAAACAAAGAGCTAAAAATGTTAATATTAATTTTATCACCAATGAAATTATTAAGTAAAAAATAAAATGAAATAAACTCTAAAAGGCAGATTTGTCTTTGTTATTTAACATTTTAAATTAAAGTATTAATATAATTAATATAATAATTAAATAATATAATAAATGTATTAATATAATATAACAAAGTATTAGTAATATAAGGTATTAATATAATATAAACTTCTTATTAGATTTTTATTTAAAAGTTCATGAATCTTATCTTGTAGATGATGTTTTATAAAAAGCAGAGACCAAAAATTAAACAATATCTCTAAAATATTTGATATATTTTTAAATAAGGGAAAATAAGGGAAGAGAGAATGAACAAAATCTGGTTTTTTTTTTTTACTATTTCTGCACAGTAAATAACATAATTTCTAATTCTTGTTAGAATTGTTTTCATTCAATTTTTAACGTGAGATATGAAGGCAAGGATTAATTATGAAAGATGCAAATCTCTGAAGTAGACAGAAAACAAATGCTATTTTTTTCATGATTGTTTGGAACCCTTAATAACTACCATTCAAAAATTTTTAAAAATTCTCTTTGGCTATAGGCCAATTCAAGTCATAAATAGAACAGAGTAGGTATAAAGGTATATCTCAAATACTTTACAAAGATCAAAATAGAAAAAGTATGAATTTCAGAGGGTAAAAATGGGTTACTTTTCAGACTTAGTTCTATAAAAGGAGTCATCATACTGGTAATATGTCACTGTTGTTTTAATTTTGATGTATAAAATAACCTTAAGTTTAATTTTAAAACAGCAATACAAATAGCAAAAAATCTAAACCATCAATAAAAGTGTTCAAAAAATAGAGAGCAAAAGGAAATTCAGAAAGGGATAAGCAGGGCATTCTTGTTTCTATTGTGTCAAATTTAATGAATATGTTAAAAAGACCAGCTACACACAGTAAAAGTCCCAAATTTCATATACAGTCCTGTTTTTCTATTCTTCTTTGTATGTTGAAATGATCCTAACAGTTGATGTTTGTTAATGTCATAATAAAGTACTTTTACAAATAAAAACCCCAAAGGATTAAAAACACAAAAGTTATATATGTACCCGTCTCACACAGAAAAATTGATATACCATTGTAGTATTGACCTAATGTGAATACTGGTTAAAATCACCCCCCTCCAGAAATTTCTGGTGTTACTGAATATTCATGGGGAAGAATAGATGTACATTAAATAACTCTTCAAGTTATACTGGTAAGCTTAGTGTGTTTCCTTTCTCCATAAAGCAGCTCAGCTTCCTTCCTTCCTTCCTTCCTTCCTTCCTTCCTTCCTTCCTTCCTTCCTTCCTTCTTTCTTCCTTTTTTCCTTTCTTTCTTTCTTTCTCTCTTTCTTTCTCTCTTTCTTTCTCTTCTTTCTCTCTTTCTTTCTCTCTTTCTTTCTCTCTTTCTTTCTCTCTTCTCTCTCTTTCTTTCTCTTTCTTTCTCTCTTTCTTTCTTTCTTTCTTTCTTTCTTTCCCAACAGACATAAACAGCATTGTGGCATAGAAGAAAGAATATTGGATTTGGGAGTCATACCAAGTCTCCTACTTCCTGTATGAGCAAGTCACTTTACATTTCTGGTCCTCATTTGTAAGATGAGAGGGCTGGACTAGATGATCTCTAAAGCCTCTTCAGATTCTTAATCTATTATCCTATCCAAATAAAAAAGAAAAAAAATGAGATTTGAAACTCAGCAAAGAATGAACATAAAGAGCAATTTTTAAATAGTTAAAGTAATCTATAAAATTTTCATCAAATGCCTGGCCTTCACAAATATGATTACTTTATTTATAAATGAAATAAATTACTTCAATAACTGCTAATTAATTTATCTGAACTTCCTTTATACAAATCAATCTAGAACAAGCTAAATTATATTAATTAAAATGTCCTATCTCTCCTTTCCCCTATTTCCTTCCTATGAGCATTTCCTCCCCACGTGATCTTTGTAAGCATGTACAAGTCTACTTACAACAGTGACACTGTGGGGTCTGCAGAGCCAGAGACAAGTCAGAAGCACACAAAAGTTCAGGATGGGAAAGACAATTCTATTTAATTCTTATTCATCAAGAGCTGTAAAGATCATGGAAATGAAAAAAAAAAGCAGATAAGGAAAATCTACATTTACCTTTTCATGCATCTGTCCTTTAAAAAATACTTTGCTGCTTTATGATTCTAGCAACTACTAATAACATAAAAAAATCCTGACAAAATAATATACAGGTTGTCCCCAAGGACCTGGTGCAGTTTTAAGCTCTAAAAGCTTTGGGGACACCATGTTTTAGCACCAATATTTGAACGAAGGCCTGGTTTTCCTGGGCTGAGGTAGAAACAGACAGTTTATACTGACATGTAGCTTTAGCAGCAGCAAAGCAAGGTGAATCAGGTAGTGGACTTGGAATCATCCTGACCTGGGCTCAGACACTTGTTAGTGGTGGGTCTGCAGGCTAGTTCCAACCTCTCTGAGCCTCAGTTCCCTAATCTATTTATTTTATTTATAAATAAATATTTGTTTATATATAAACTTAATATTTATATTAAATTTAAATTTAAATTTAATTTATTATTAATTAATTTATTAAATTAAATTAATGAAATAAAATTAATTCATACATAAATTTAATAAATAAATTTATATATACATAAAATAAATCTTAATCTATGGTGTAACAGGGGCTGTCCCCCACAAGTAACATGGAAGTGATATGTGGCTTGAAGGGAGACAGAATAGACATCTCTGGCGTCTTCCTCTATGCTT